TGTTTACCTCTAGATCTGAGATTGGATTGTATGCAGATTTTACTCTAGAAAAATAATTCTAGACCCTGTAGAAGAATATACTGGTAGCACACTCCACTACATGTTAAAAAGCAGTATTTCATGTCACATCTGTGAATAGCCTTGTTCTTCTGGAAATGCCTGACATGGCTATTAGCTTACAGCACAGTGTATTTACCCATTCACTGCAATGTACCAGATAATTTGAGTGAAAATTAACATGTCAGGTTGAACTAGCACAGAAATGCTTTTATTCCAAGAGAGTATAGAAGTTCTCAAGTGTAAATAAGTACTTACTGGTATTTTAGGTTGTATATTTGCTGCTCCATGAATTTAATAGGCATAATTTTATGCAATTTTCTTTGAGGTTTAAAGAGTTGAATGTATTTTAGCTTTCAGAACTTCAGTTCTTTGACTTTTGCTTGTCCTCTTTTCTGACTTAGAGAAAAAAAAAAAAAGGAAATAATTTTGGTCTGGAATATACTTGAGCATTTGCTCAGAGGAGGGAAAGGAGCACAGCCAGAAAGAGAATAATTTCACTTTATTGTGATGCCATTTCTTCACACTAGCCTAGAAGAGTTTCCTGGTGGGGTACATCACTTTAAGCCCTCCACCATGCCTGACTATATGCTAATACCTCCTGCAGCTGATTAGCCTGAATAAATATGTTGTATTTACACTTTTCTGAAGTAGTGATTTCAGAAAGCTGACATGAGCAAACACCCACACCCATGAGTTAGGTGTTACCAAGAGAAACTAAGCAACCTTTCTTTTCTGTAGGCTGGAAACAAACACATACATAAGGTAAATTCAAAGGGGGTGGTGCAGTGAAGGAGAGAAAGGATTTTGCATAGGTTAATTTTAGGCCAGGGAATCTAGTTTCCCTGCTCTCTTCTGCTGATGATTATCATGGCAGATACTCCTTCAAGAAAGAATAATTTTGGATCTTAACTGTACTAAGGAAGATCTGGTGTCTCTATTCATTGAGTATATAGAAAACATATGGCTGTTAAAATCATTGTGTTAAAGTAGGACTTTGTAAATACTGCTACACTACTCTTTCCATTTTAGGAAATGTAAGTAGTGCTCTATTTTGTGATGTGAGATCAAACAAAAACTTGGATGTATAGATAAAACATATGGGGCTGCTTACCTTTCTGAAGAGCATTAGAAGAGTCTGGAGCTGTTTGTCAGGATCTCATATCATTTGAGAAGAAAAAGAAAAAAATTACACTTTTTTTCTCTCTGGCTAGAAAATGCTATCTTGGTGTTTTACAGTCATTCTTTGTATTCACTGATAACTACGTAGTTATCACAGAGCGTAGTCATTCTTTTATTTGTATAGACAAATCAGAATTAGTGTTGAGTGTTGTATTAAATCATTTTCCCTATGTGTCTGTATTAAGATTACCCTGTCTGGCAGAGCTGTTGCCTGAACAGAGCTACACTGCATGTACTATGATTTGCAGTACTTTCATAGGATTGTAACTCTGGGTATATAAAAAAATTTAAATTATATCAACATTTTCCTTAGAACCTACTGTTATATAGTCACTTCTTTGCATACAATCATTGAAATGACAGTAATTAACTAAAATAATTTAATTTCTTATGTAATTTTGAAAAATTACCCATCTTTACTCTTCATAAAATCTTTAGGTGCCACTGGGCAGGGGTGAGACTGCAGAAGCATTCTTTGACAAAGCATGGAATAAGTACATCTATCTTTGTGTTTGCCATTTATGTTGGGGGCCCCCCCCCCCCCATATGTTGGCCTTCTAAATGACCCATGCCCATAAATCCCAGCATTTAGACCGTGTTCATCAATATGTTATCTATTATCTAAGTTGACATTGTAATTTTAACCCAGTCAAACACACAGCTGTCACCTGAGCTGGCTACAGTTTATTTAAGCATTTTAGTACACATGGGAAATAATAGGATCCCATCTGTACTACAATAGTCAACCGTGTAGCAGGGAATAACAATGTTCTAACCAGCTTCCTGGGTTAATTATAACTGTAGTAATGATGAAACTCAAGGGAGACTAGTGGTGTGTGTGTGTGTGTGTGTGTGTGTGTGTGTGTGCGTGTAGGGATGCAGGGGGAACGACTGAGATTGGTGATTTGATGCAGAGTCTTTTCTTCCAGAAAGCAATTTGACACCATGTGGTCATTTCACACTGACTACTAGGCAGCCATCAGATGATGCAACCTCCTGGGGACAAAACCTCCTGTATTTGTATAATAATCCCTCAGCTGGCTCTCTTAAGCAACTACTGTGTTCTGAACAGCGTCAAAAATAGCCCTGTCTTGTACCTGCAACAAGTCTCTTAACACTTAAGCACATATGTTTCTCTACCTTAGGAACCTTGGTCAGTATTAAGAGATCTGAAACAGGATTTCTGGGGCCATGTAGTTGGGATATTCTACATTATATCAGAATATGTTGTCCTGTTGTTTTTGTGGCTGGTGTTCTCTGTCCCTCCCCTGCAAGCATACCTTCAAACATAATTCATATCCCTTTCAGTCTTTACTCACTGGCAATAAAAGGAACCCAAGGTCTGGAAAAATACATTTCCTTGTTAAAGCATTAGGAACATCTGAACAGGCTGCCTGCTTTTGTTCATTTAAGCATGAGGAGCAGTCTCTTGCTGTGTCCTAAACACGTAGGGCTGGACATTCCATCTTTGGCTATAGCTGCTGAAGTCAGGTCTGTCAAAAATTGGAATTACGTGCTGAGTGACCAGGTGTGTGTTGCAATGGCAATCACAGTCATCATTATTTCATTGCTGACATGAAATAAGCTTGGAAATTTACTAGAAAAATAACTTGCTGCTCTGTGAATACTTTTAGTCTGTTTTCTATATTTTGCTTGGGTTTGTGCTCCATGGGCTGCTTCACAGGGCTGTAGCACAGCATCAGGTTCTTTTTCCACGAGAGTAACAATGGCTGGTGTAATGGGATAGCGAGAAGGGAATACAAAAAGAAAGCTTCAATAGTCTTGTGCACAGATCATTTGGGTAAAAATTTCCCCTCACTTCAAGTGCAGGTCTGTACATATAAGGACCCTTAAATAAATTTCATCATTAATGTGATTAGAGTAAAAATTTCAGGCCTTGACCATAAGAACCGGTTTGAGTAACTTATAAACTAGAAAAGTTTCCCTTTACTCTTGATTAATACATTTTCATGCATGTAACAGCTTGTTTCTAATTCTTTTAGGATTACTCCATATTCTCCAGAGACATGCCAATGAGCAGCAGGAAAGCCAGCTTAGGCAGGTTACAATTTGCCTCCCACATCAATGTAACAATGGTGGCAAACATACGAGCTCCTAGAGCGCTGAGCTTGGAAAAGGCACTTGCCTCCTTCACCCAGACTGACACTTCTGATGAGTTGAGCTGAGACTGGGGTTTGAGGGCTTCTTACAGTTGTGACTTCTCTTTCTGTCACCTCCCCCTTCCTGGAAATCCGTTTACATGAATTGCAGTCTGTCAATATAAGCCTTGAAAGTGACCATGGAAACTTGGCAGGACACAGTCCCCAGACCAGGAGTTTCCATGGTAGGCTGCATACTCTGAGAGACTGTGCACTAACCCTAGCTGGCATGCTTGCTGTTGCACAAACAAATGGAACCTTGGTTTGTCTTCTTCTTCCAGATTTGCCTTTGATACTAAACAAACTGAATTAAAAATAACATGCAACTTAATACAGTGAAACAGAAGTCTAAACTTCGGCTATGGAAATGGAAACTGTTATGACAGAGAAAACTAAAACATGGGTTTAGAGCACATGACACCAAATCTCTGTCTTTATTAAGATATGTTGCAGCTGTAAAGACAGTGAGGCAGGAGAACTTCATTCTTCCAGTGAGATTTGGAATTACTGTTAAAGCCAGTTTGGGAATGCGAGACAACTGGAAATCTAGCTCTTCTCCCTATGTAAAGGTTGATAGCTGTTTGAGATCTTTCTCCCTTTCTTTGAAAACAGATCTTCTGTCTTTGTCTACTAGTAATCTTATCTAACTCTTTTTTTCCCATAAAACCTTAAACCTCTGCTCTGCAGACTTCTTTTTAATTTGTATTTCTCTTGTTTAATAACCAGTGCATTCCCTTCTGCCTGAATGTCTCCTATAGTGGCCACAAAGCTTTATAAAACATAAGAAACATTAATTCATTCTTTTCTCCTCATGCTCCGCTTTCATGGACACGGCATGTAACCCACTTAAGGCAGACACAGTATCAGAGTGCATTGGTCAAACTCATCCCACCTTTTCTTTTAGGAGTTCCTGGGGTCAAACCCCCAACATTTTCTGTCAAGATGTGAAACACATCAGGGTTTCTGTTCTAGTTATAGTTATCACTCCTAGTCTTGCACAGCCTGGAACAGAACTACCTGCTAACAGTTACATTTATAAAATGTAGCTGTAACTGGAGTGTGTAGTAAGAGAATGGTAAATTTCCTGCTAGTCTATATTCTCAGCCTAGATTAATGGATAAATAATATCTTGCTTACCCTTCTCTTATCCACAATTTCTGTCTCAATGAGGGCATTTTCTGTTGAAGCACTGCATATTTATCACTTTTGGAGGTAGATGTGATGTAGCAACCTCTTGATTAAGGGCGTCTTATTAGGTGTAGGTTTGGCATAGCAATAATTTGGGAAGGAAGGTGTATTACATATGTTTCTTTTGAATGTTTGGAATATATTTTGTATATACAAACAAAGAAAACTCTTGATAATTTGAAATAGAAATGTGAAGGGCTAGCAGGAGAGGAAGAAGAATAGAAGCCAAGCAGAAAATATTGGTAAGAATCTATATACCTGAGCTAACTTGATCCAAGTTGTTTTTCTTGTTGATATTTCCTGTGAGGTTTTGTTAATCTGTATATTTTTTTTATTAATTTTTAAAATTGTCTTTTTCCAACTGCTTTTCTGAATTGACAGTTTCTGTCCTGATTCCGAGTAATGTTTTCTTAGGCTGTCCTGAGAAACTGTAGAGCCTTCACTGAGGAACAGGAAACAGCATCTGCTCAGTATGCTCTTCAAGTGGTGAACACCTGCTCCTGGAGAGGTTCTCAATTCTATGCTGCCTACAAAACTCAGAACAAAACCAAGCAGGATCCCGGAGGTAAGACTGTCAAATTAAGAACAGTACCTGTAGGAGAAACAGTGCCTCTCGCTTGGGCTAGGAAAAGTACTCACCAGATGAACATGTTGTGGATTGAATCCAGGTTTCACAGATCTAGTCTGGCGACCAGTCCAGAAGCTACAAGTAGTTACTTGGTCAGTTAGTTAAAGACTTTGGATAAATTATTAGAATAATCTCCAGAACTGACACCCTAGGACCAGGCTTCAGTGTTCTTGTCCAGACAAAACCTATTGTTTTATTTTGCTAGGATTAGAATGAAATAAGTGTGAAATTCTATACTGTGAAACTAAATTTATTTCTGTCCATAACTAATTAAGGTTTACATCCCTAATACCTGACAAGCTGGATCCATACTGAGATCAAAAATAAAGGGTGGAAAACCAGAAGACTAATGATTGCAATTCTACTGGTTGGATAGAGCATAGCATATGAACATGTGAAAGCCTAGGATTAAATTGAGGTTTGTGCCTCTGCTGTTCAACCTGCTGCCATGGCTGAACTTGCTGCACTGTTCTCCAGACATCCAGTCCTTGTTTTTTCAGTTTTTGTCAATTACAGAAGTTTTCATAACTCTCCTGCAACTGTAAATATTAATGATGATTTATGAATTGTTGTGTGTGTGACACACAGGGATTCAACACAATCTTGCTATGAAGTGTTTACTGTCTTACTGCGCAGTCAGTAATGAGTTACTATGTTTAAGTGATGCAGAAGTAATAGTCTGAAAAACCTCAGTAAGCCATAGTAAGAGGCTGAAATCTCAGCTCTTGTGAATGGTAATTAAATATTTTTAAGTACTCAGACTAGAGTGCTGAAATTGTATTATTTCTAGCTCCTCCAACTTTTGCATGGATATTATCATGTGGTTACAGTTTTCTTCTAACTGGATCAAGAGATTTTAAAGCTTACCTGGTTTGCGTATGTCTCCCTTACTTCAGAGCCTGGGGTTTTCTATCCTTACACATCTAGCTGAAATTTAAAAAAAATAGTATGCATATTTCAAACCCTTTCTACCTGCTTGCTGAGTATTTTGCTGCTTAAGAGGCTGTTGTTAGCACAGAGGAGGCTGCAGAATACAAGCAGTTCCAACAATAAGAAATTTGTGTACATATTGCCATGTTCCCTCCAATATTTTATCTTTAAACTAAATAAAACAATGTTTGGGAAGCTATGGCAGGCAGACTACACCTCTTCTATTTAGTTCAGTTTCCTAATTCAATGTGTTTAAAAGTTAGCACAAGCAATTTATCATTCACTTGCAGAGCGCTGAATACAGCTGCCAGAAAACACACATTTTCCCCTAAAAATGCATTAATGTCTGTTTAAATAAGGTGTCTATCTGCTTGCACACTGTTTATTTTATCAGTGTTAGAAACACAGTGATTAGAGTTCCCATCTGGTAGGATTATTTCATATTGCTCATGGTTCAGGCAATTTCTGGTTCAACTTAGATCAATGTTCATCTGTCAGTCATTCATCATCAACTTTAGCAAACAAGGACAAATCTGTAACGAGGGACGTTTACAAATAATTATCCTTTGTCTGGACAACACATGTGATTTTTCTTAAAGGTTGTGTAAAGAAGGCTACACTCGGAATCTGAGAGATGCATGGGAATACCGAATTCTGACATGAGATCTAAATTATTTAAGTTCATGCTCTTTCTCTTCTTTGTTAATACAATGAAACTGTTAGAACTTTTTGCATTGTGAGGTAATGCTCAGCTCCAGTGCAAGGCACATTTAGACTCAAATAATTGAATTTGAATAAAGGAAGTTCTATAATAGCTCAACTTTTTGGTTTTGTTCTGAGCAAGATGAGGAAGAAAAAAGTTCAGCAATTGATCTACCTCCAAAGACAGATGCAAGAGATTATTTCTTATCTTGTCTTTTGACTTCATTGTTTGAGTGGATCTGGTGTATTAGACTTATATCTGTTTTCACTCTACCTTTCTGATAGCTTCCAGTAGCTGTGCCTTTGCCAAGCATGTTTAAGCTCACAAGGAGTTTATACCAATATCTCTTGCAAATGCCAGTGGCCTTCTTAGCTCTTTTCTGCTCCTGATAAAATAATAATTTAAGATTTTAGTAGAACAAAGGTGCTCTTTTAATGTTTAACTAGTGGGGTTTTTTTGTAGTATGCAGCTTCCCGGATACCAGTATCATGTCAGCTCAAAACTTGTCAAGGGCATTTATTTGAGTAAGGTGTTGGCTACCTTTTTACAATTCCCAAATCGACAACAGACTAGTAAGTTAGGTTTTCATTCTAAAGTGAGTCTCTACGTATTGTAGACTCAACAGTCCAAGGCAGCAAGGAAGGTAGTAACATTGAAAATCCAAGATAACTCTTCTGCAGAACAACCCAAACATTACTGATACTAGTTTTGGGGGTTTTGTTTGTTTGCTTTTCTTTTTTAACTTTAGACCAGAGGGTGGAATTTTTGTAGTCTAAGTGCGCTGCCAAACACTAAGTAGTAGATGCAACTATATTTCAGGGCATACCTGTGTTGTCAGGAAGCTATTTTTTAACCTTGTACAATAGAGATCATTAATGCTTTCATTCACATTCATTGTTTAAAGCCAAAAGCGAGAGCATCGTTGTACAGCTTTTGACAGTTAGGTAGACACTGGCGAACTGAGCAGAGTCTGATGAGGTTTGGAGTGTATTTACTGGCATTTAGAGGAATGGATCAAGAGTGAAGGCAATTGATGTATTTATGAAGAGTAGGCCATAGACTATTTCATTCCCCATTTGACAGGAAACAAAACAGATACGTTGTCAGGGGAATGCTAGATACTGAAAATTAACGATTGTCAGTGCTTCAGAGTTGTGGCTTACAGTTTCATGTACTGTAGTGTGGGAGTACATGGATGCATGTGTTATTCATGCATTTATTTTTTACACTCTACATTTTTAGCCGTGACCTGCAGTTCAAATGAGAAGACTGCTGTGGCTCAGGCCAGCCATGGACGTTAATTTCTCCCTCCTGTGAACTACTACAAACTATTTAATTTGTATTCTGACCAATACAGTGCACCACCTTCAATAGAAAACCAGCTAGTGACTTCAGTGGGATCCAAATTAAAACTTCTGGGGAAAAAATTCTGCTTTCTACTCAAAATAACAGTCTTGAGAAAATAAACTTTATGCTTCATGATAATTGGAATTTTTTTATTTCTATGCAGAATTATTTTGCTATAGTTCGTATGCAACAGCCTGCACATTGTTTTTTGTGCAGCTAATCATGAGTTTGAGAGATCCGCAGCTATCTCCTCAAGTTCTCTGTATAAAAAAAGAAAGCCAGCTATGTGTGAACTTTTTATAAAAATTAGTTTGCATGAAGTTAGTTAGAGTACTCTGGTAGTGCTTAACTGAAGAAATCCGTATTTGAAGTGTCTCTAGTGCATTCCAGAGAAATCAGACTCCAGTGCTTCAGTTCTAATAAAGGAAAAAGCTCAGTACTTAGCTACTTAGGTGAAAAAAAAAAACCCAAAAAACAACAACAACAACAAAAAACCCCAACACGTTTAGAATGTTAACCCCTGATTTGCTGGTAAAAAACTTTGTCACCTCTTTATCTTCTGGGACCTGTTTTCATGAGATATTGAGCACTGATTACCAACCAGCTTTGGGTTTTCTACGACTTTTTACCTAAGGAGGCAGCAAGCCTCCTGCATTCCTGCATTTAGAACAGTGAAATCTTGTCTCTTTCTTTCATAGAAATAAATGTATACATTTTATAAGTAAACCAAGAATGAATTTTAAATTAAGCTCAATTTAAACAGAAGGATTCTTAGATCTTATGAAAAATTCCAATGAGGTGCTCCAGAAAGAACAAAATGGAACTTCTGTTTGGCAGTGTAACACGTGTTAGTGTGACTTTCAGACACTGGAAGATAATGGTTAGCAATTTCCATTTCTAACACATGACTGTTTCTGATAATGTATTAATATTTACTTTTTTTACTGTTTCTATGCCTTATATGTTGTTTTTTCTAACTCTGCAGCTAGTGAGGATGTTTATATTTTTGAAAGTTCTTTGCTGGCTGTCATGAGTGTTTTGAGCATTTTAATGCAAAACGCGATTGTTTTTTTCACAGCAGAAAGTCATGAAGACATTCACTATAACTTCAAACCAGAACTTTTTGCATGATTTAAAACATTTTAGATTGAGGAAAACAGCGATATTAATTACTGCTAAATAACAATTAGCTCCTATTCTAGAAAATTGATAAGGTAAGGGATAGAATATAAATTAAATACAAGGGGAAAGCGTATGCTGGGTTAAGGGAAGAGGGCAGCAAGCACAGGCTTAACAGATACATCCCCCTCCCATCTTAAAACTCCCCCTCATCTTTATATTCTTTATATTTTGGTTGAAGTTTGCTGCTTTGCAGGAAAGTGGTGTTCTCTATGGTCTGTATCTGTATGGCCATTGACTTGGAATAATATGCAGGTGCATTTCTATTAATGACATTTTTACCATAGAATAAAATAGACAAAAAAGTTTTGCCCTATATACTGAAATGCCTTTTGATGTATCTTCTGTGACAGGGAGCAGACACCTTTAAACTTCAGGAACACAGTATAAATTTGCACCAGTTTATGGGGCTCTAAGGGACCTCAGTGGATCAGGCATTGGAACAGCTACCCAGGGTGGTGGTGTATTCGGTGTCCTTGGAAGTGTTCAAAAAACATGTAGGTGAGGCCCCTTAGTGACATGGTTTGGTGGTGGACTTGGCAGTCTTCGGGTAATAGTTGGACTTGATGATCTTAAAGGTCTTTTCTAATCTAGCTATTTTATGATTCTTTGATTCTATATGTTTGTGATTGCCACTGTGTGAATACATGTGTCATGGTTTAAGCCAAGCCCAGGATAGTGTTCCAGGCAGTGGTGTGGGGCACGGTGTATGTTTCCAGCCATCCAGTGGTTTCTTCCACCATAGTAAGCACATGGCGCTTGCCTTGGTGGATTGGTGGGAGTGTGATATAATCAGTCTGCCAGGCCTCCCCATATTTGTATTTCAGCCATCGTCCTTCATACCACAGAGGCTTTAACCGCTTGGCCTGCTTAATTGCAGCACATGTTTCACACTTGTGAATAACCTGGGCAATAGAGTCCATTGTTAAATCCACCCCTTGATCACGAGCCCATCTGTATGTTGCATCTCTGCTCTGATGGTCTGAAGTGGTGTGAGCCCACTGGGCCAAAAATAATTCACTTTTATGTTGCCAATTTAAGTCCATCTGAACCACTTCAGTCTTAGCAGATTTATCCACCTGTTGGTTGTTCTGGTGTTCCTCAGTGGCCCGACTCTTGAGTACATGGGCATCTACATGACGTACCTTCACCATCAGGTTCTGCACCCAGGCAGCAATATCTTGCCACAGTGCAGCAGTCCAGATGGACTTACCTCTTCATTGCCACTTGCTCTGCTTCCATTGCTGCAACCACCCCACAGGGCATTTGCCACCATCCATGAGTCAGTATAGAGATAAAGTACTGGCCACTTTTCTTGTCTCAGCAATGTCCAAGGCCAGCTGGATAGCTTTCACCTTGGCAAATTTACTTCATTCACCATCTCCTTCATCAGTTTCTGCAGCTTGTTATCTGGGACTCCATACAGCTGCCTTCCATCTCTGACACTTCCAGAGCACTGGAGGGGCCCACTGGGCTAGATACTTGCCCATAATGTCCCACACATCCTACCACTCATGACTGTCCAGCCTCGGGGAAAATCTCTTGGTCCTCCTATATTGTTGTCTAACCCTAGACAAGACCCAAGCCAGACCCTGCTTATTTTCCATGATTGGACAAGATTGGGAGTTCTCAGGGGGGTCACACTGTAAGCAAATCATAGAGAGCATATGCAGCAACAAGCTGGTTCCCAGCAAGAGGAGCAGGGTGCTTCCAAGGGCATTGAAAGGATATTCAGGATCTTTAAGTCTTCCAGAATCTACTCCCACTGTAAATAGCCTGGTGGGGGAGCAGAGGGTGTGAGGG